CATTATGCTCATGGCACTGGGCTGCTCATCGCAGTTCAGTTATTGGATTGAGACGTATCCATTGACAAAAGACCTGGTGATTTGATACCTGCTGGAGAATGGAGCGCTTGTCGGATTGTTTGCCCCATCCTGGCAACCTCTGCAACCCTTGATACGGACGAGCTGCAGCTGCTGCCGACAGAGGTTCGCTCGTGGAACTTGGATGACATCCAAGAGAGCTTCTCTTCTGCAGAAACCAAGAGCTGTTAAATATGGATACTTATTTGCAGCAGTGCTGATAACGAACAAATACAAAGAGCCAGAAAATAACTACAGGTTTAGATGGTTTCAGCGTCTCTTATTTGGATAATGGCTGCTGTTGTACTGTATCTACAGAACTTGATGATCTGCTGGCACCCACTATGAAGTCTTCCGCGGTTCACAACCTCACGCAAAATCTTCAGAATACGCTTCTCTTGCTCTTTGTAAGTGTCTGGCAATTTCTGCTTGGCGACTGAGAGAATTGCAGTAACTGTGGTTAAACTGTTTTCTTTTGAGCACACTTGTTCATCATGTTGTTTCTGAATTGCTTCCGTGTCATGGTTTGTGGAACAAAGGCAACTCTCTGATCGATCTAATTTTCTGTTGTGTTCTCCTGAACACCTGAATACGAAATAGTTGTGAGATTCAGAGAACATATACACCCTGATAAGATATATGCATGTTTCGCCATTAAATCCTTCAATGAAATATACCACTGGCAATAAAAGTTCTGTACGTGTGAGTTCTCAGCCAAAACAGAAGCAAACATCGAAGGCTTCTTCTAAGCAACTTGCAATCACTTGGTACTAACTGAGAAGATTTGCACCTGGTGTCAGATAGTGAGTTCTACTTTTAAGGTATGTGCAAATTTTCTTTAGGTGGAGTAACAAAGCATTCCCTTGAACTGAATGTGACAAGGTCTCTCTATTCTATGCTGTACTTCCTAATAGTTTGATGGCAAATCAACTTACCAGAAGAATGTGAGCTAGCAAACAGAAAACCATTTAGCATAACGAATCACATATTAGGATCATAGCTATGATTATTCTTCTGCAGAGAAAAACAATACCTACAAATGTTCCGGCAGCTTGCCTTAATACTAGAACCAATACTTTACAGAGCTCATCGACATTCTCTATCTGGATAATATCAGCTAAAAGTGGCCTCGGGGAAGATAAGAAATATATGTCAGACAGCACAATTAAATAAGTTCAGATGAGAAATTGGCTATAATCATGGGCAAAATGTCGTCTATAAGTAACTCCTTGCGGCGCTAATTTGACAGTACTTTGAGTGCCTTCTATAGGAACAGGGGTGAGGAAAGACGAAGTCACCTGACATGGGAAAAGACAAAAGTATATGTTAATAACCAGAATTTCAACATTTATTTAGCTTTTATTTTAACTGAACGATATGTTATAGCATTTGAGCTACTAACCATACATATTCAGTCAGCTATCCATAAGACACCACACATGTTTGGCTGCTATAGTCTATATACCTTAAATTATTTCTAAGTCCACATAACGAAAGCAGAAGGCATGAAAATTATGAAAGCCTTTCCGGAAAATTATAAAAGGGGTCCTGTAAAAGAATTACTTGTGAACAATCATTTTTACTGATGACCTGATCTCTGCCTAATGGAGCCACTGAGAGATTGGAGAGCTTTTCTACTGCATGAGAAAGAGCCAACATTATAGCAGGATTCTGCATATCATGTGAATAGACAAGGTGCCACTGGGTGATAAGGCCTATTGCTTTCATATCTTCACTGCTCTCATAGTTCTTGCAATCCGTACATTTGCAGTTCTCTGAACAGAGAACATTAGATTGAAAGCACTCACGGTATTTCTTCAGGCACTCAGATCTCTTGCAGTGGCACCCCTTCGTGTGCTTAACCACAACAGGGCCTTCTGCCACTTTAAACTGGGATGTAATGAGAATGGATTTCCTACATGACATGAGAAGGCAAACATATTGGTATACAACTCAGAATTTGGCTTGTTTGTCATACGACTATTGCTAACCTTAAGCCCTCAACTCATGGTATGGGTTCAAGAATCGGCACTGCTAGCAGAACACCATGCTCAAAATTCTCGATTTTAAGCAATGTACCCAAAAGGGAGTCAGGTAATGGCAATCCATGACTCCATGTATCAGTTGCTAACATTGGAAGACAAGTTCTAGATGACAAAAAGGGGATTTGACCTCTCTATCATTGTTGATGCCCAAATCTCACCGATCTATTGCACATAAAAATATAAAGATGTGACACTTTAGTCTAATGATATATGAGTCTTGACCTCAGAACATTATTTGCGCCGTATTTACGGGCCACTTCATTGTGTTTAAATTTTGGATACCGACAAGGAAACAGGCAAAACAAGACATAGATAGCCAAGCCCTTCAGCAACTAGAAGAAAACACAAGTGATTCTTGCGAAATATACATTGTGCTCTACCTCGCCATTCTGGGCTGCATGTGGAGGGATATTCCCAATTTTGGACATAAAGGCCACAGGATTCCTTTCCATCACAGTATTGATAGCATCCTATCTTGCAGCCTCATGACTAACATTACTAGAACAGTTTTTGCAGTTGCAATCACTGCAGTATCTACCTGATGCAAAACACTCACAATACCTAGAAATGCATTCAATCAAAAGACCAATCAGTAGAATTTTATGATAAAGAATACAATTCAAGTCGTTGCCTAGCTATTAAAAATAGTAAGGGCCTTCAACTGACTTGAGAGAATGTAAGGAGTTCATCAGTAATGCAAGTGCTCAGATAGAAAGCAAAATCTCATTACTGTTGTAGATATTAGAACATTTTAATAGCTTGGTCAAATATAAAGTTTGACTTAGGACAAAACTAGAACTTCAATCAATTCAAATGGAGGGAGCATTTGCTTTCGTTATAACTTTGGCACTATTTTAGATTGTTTTTTTTTAATTCAGTTAAAAATTATCCTGACAGTGCAAGACACAAAGGAACAACAACAGCAATCTAGAATTATTTGTTCTATTTATTTCCGTATTTTCTATTATAAGTGCTCTAAAGATGTAGCCTGGGAAGGAAACTAACCACAAAGCATAGAACACGAACTCTAGAACTCTAGCATCAAATTATGAAAGAAAATACTACCAAGAAATACCAACTATATCTGGTTTCATTTGGAGGTTCATTATACATTATTTTGCCTGTTTGCATTGTGCCCAGCGACTGGTCAGCAGCACTTGGCACATAGCAATACAAGCATATGCACATGCTATGCACGTACAATCACAATGAGATTTTTCACAGGTAGTAATATACGTAAATAAGCACTAACCTTTAAGGGCTGGAAAATGACTTGAGGGATAAAATATTTACCTTAAAGACAAATTCAATAGCAACAAGATCCTTATGATGCATATTGTTTTAACAAATTATAAGGGAGCCTACATTCAAGTTCTTGCACTTGCAGTATTTCCTCCTTGGATATGAGTATTTCATATCCTGCAGATAGGAAAAAATTCAACAATTAACAAAAATAATTTCCAGACAAAGGCTTTCCCTACTCTCAATAGAAGGGGGAAAACCTAGACATTATTTCTCAATTAGAGCATCTCTAGTGGCCTAGTGTATCCCATAGTCTAAGCCAGATATAGACCACCAGAGGCCAAAAAACGTCTCCAGCGGCTGGTGTATGGCGTGGTCTAAATTTTAGACATCCATCAGACTAGCTACACATCGTCTATATTTGGACTACCGAGCGAGGATGTCCAAACGAGAGATGCTCCTCGTGAGCTCTCTTCCGTGCCAATCCGGAGCTGTTGGAGACGAGAAGGACACCCGCGCCACGTCCAAAATGTAGCCGTTGGGAATATAGACTATCAAATTTAGACAATCCACTGAAAAACTGAGGTTGTCTAAAATGAAATTTTTTTACACCATTGTGTATGTGAAGATATAGACTACCAAATTTAGACAAGCCACTAGAGATGCTCTTAACTTTGAGACACAGAATACCAGCTGTACAATCACAATGTCCAAGTAGGTAGAGTAGTTATCGGTTTCAATTTCTTCAACCAAGTTGCAGGAAAACCCAAATTAAAACTTTTATTTTATAGGAGCACAATTTCTAGTAAAAAATCATGTATCCTTCCACTTAGATCAAAAGGAATTTTTCCAATAGAACTATGGAACCCCCGAGTGGTTGCGGTTGTACCTATACTGCAGGAATAAGAAAAACTCGCTATTCACTCGGTTTATTTTCCATAATAACTTATGTAGGAGAGATGGCTAAGCAGTTCAAGGCATAGCATTGGAACTGCTATGTAGACTTTTGTTTACACATCCCATCTCACTATATGCCTTACTCTAAATAAACATTGCCATTGCCAAATTACCTAGCAGGGAGAGAGCTCACACTCACACGCCTACAGAGGTTGCAGCCTTGCAGGCATTGGCAGTAGTGCTGGCACCTGGGGGGTACATGTTGCAATGGAAGCACTTGTACCCCTGATAGTGGCAGCTCCGCAACTTGTAATGCCTCCAGCAATGACAATTAGCATTATTAGGACAGTTTTTGCAGTTGCAATCATTGCACTCGCAATACCTAAAATGCATTCAATCGAAGGACCAACCAGTAGAATTTTATGATAAAAAAACAATCTAAGTCGTTGCCTAACAATAACAGCACTGGTGTAACATAGACCAACAGTCACAGATACAAGTAGCTCCTAAAACACCAACATTCATAGATGAAAATCCATGAACCACCAGTCACAGATACAAGTAGCTAAAACAAGCATAACATCATTTTTGCTTACAAACAATCGTTAAGCAAATGGAGGTTGATTTAACGACTGTGAACATAGGCAAGATGAGCACATCCTTGAAACATAATTTGCCTTCATTTCCTAAATTCTCTTCGATCTTGGGGTGCCAGATAAAACCTAATGAAGGCAAAATAAGCAGATCCTTGAAACACAATCATGCCTTCATTTCCTCATCCTCTTCAATCTTGGGTGCCAAATAAAACCTAATGTAGCCCATCTCGCCAATCTTGTACTCAACAACCACTGGCAGTTCAGATGAGAGGCTGATGGTGACTTGGTCTGACAGTGGGCTTGCCTTAGTGAAGGAGTTCATGTACCTCAGAGCAAAGGTAAGTGAAACCGGCTCTTGCATTTCTATAATGGTAGATTCCTCAGGCTGCATTGATACAAACATTCATTAGCTACCATACTGATACATGTCCCTGAAATGGTACTCCAATATGAAAACCAAGGCTCAAACTGAAATAATATTTGCAAGTGTAAACTATAGGTGAGATTAATACTCCACATGGCTTAAGCTGAATACAGGTCTTTTTTTGTTCACTGACCACCTCAACCACAATTTTAAAATGGTACTCCAATATTTTACACTTGCAACTATCACTTCAGTTGCCAGGTTCGCCAGCTCAGAGTACAGGGGCCATCAAAATCACTTTGTATAGTAAATAGCATGTTACAAAAATATGTAGCTGCAGTCCTTGTAGATCTGTTGGACTCAACCTTCAGTAGACAAAGCTATGTACAACTAACAACACTTTTTGAAGTGAAAAACTATGTAATAATGTAAACAAACTAAACATTTCAAAGCATCATTTTAAGCCATGTAAAGGAATAAAACAGCAGGACTGGGTAGTGTGCATCTATGAAGACATGCTGGGCAATTTTATCATAAATAAACTACACCAGCAACAATAACTACCAAATCGTCCAAATATAATAACTGAGTGATTAGTAAACAATCTGGTTGAGAATTGGGTGCAGCTGACTATTTATGTTGCTACAATTAAGGTATTGACAAACTACAATCATCCCTGCAATCGGGATTCCTGACTCTCATTATGCAATACACCACAAAACCACAATATAAATGCATGAAAGGGGAACAGATCTATACAAACTAGTGGAGGAACAATGCAGGATACCTTGTCAACGGTCTTGTTCTGCCTGCAAACAATGTTTGCGGTTCCAATATCTCCAGCAGTGGAGAACTTGACACCCTCCTTGGTGACAGAAATAATAACTGCAGCGCACAGAAACCGCGTCAGCCATGAGACATGTAAGAAACAGAGATGACTAGTGCAGCAGACCACAATAATACAGGAAATGGGGGATTCCGCATACCAGTGTCGCCGATGCTGCTAAGATCCTTGCAGATCCTGGAGAACTCCGAGGAGGGCATGCGAACGATGGCCTGGTACTCAGAGTCTGGGATCCCGAGGTGCTCGCTGTCGATGTCCATGAGCTTCATCTCGAAGTCGGCAATCTTATCCTGGTCTGTTGACCCACCCAAACCACGGTTACCATCGACACCCACGGATAAGGAAGAGGACCGACAGGAAGAGATGTGCAGAGGGGTGCTTACTGGGTGACTCGAACATGAAGGTGACGGTGTCGGAGCCGTCGTCGGCCTTGATGGTGATGATGTCGTCGTTGCCCGCGCAGCGGAGCATCTTGGCCATGTTGCCGAGGTTCATGCCCATGGAGAGGTTGCGGTCGCAGCGGTAGTGCTCGAATCCCTCGGAGCGGAGGAGCAGGGCGACGAGCGCGACGTGGGAGGAGTCCATGGCCTGCAGCGAGAAGCCCGTCCCGGAGCAGTCGAAGTTGGCGTCCGTCACCAGCTCCTTGATCGCCTCCAGCACCTTCTTCAGCAGGCTCCCCTGCACCAGCCTCAGCTCCAACATCTTCGCGGGCGGGCGGGGGCCGGCGGCGGCGGGGCGCGAAGGGGGCGGGGGTGGATCGAGAAACCCTCGGGAGTGCGGCGGACGGCGACGGCGGCGGCGGCGGCGG